ATCATTGATGTTCGATTCATCAGCTTTCTCTAGTCTATTCTCATCTACCTTGCCATTCCCTTGTTTTTTTTGTTTTTCCTTTTTATATAGTGATCCTAAAATCAATTGCAACTGCTCTATAGCCTCCTTTTATTAGTCTTAATATATCTCTCATCTGTGCATCTTAATTATACTAATCTTGTCCATTAATTCATGTCTTAATTCTGTTAAATTACTTTATTCTCTTAGGGAATGTTTTTCTTTTTAATGAATTCTCACAATTTAGATATTTATCAGAAGTTCATCTACTTTTTTTAGATCAAAGACGAAATGATGTTAGAGTCCCTTCTTGTTCTACTGTACAGTAGTTTTCAATGGTCTAGGATTGATACTCTTTCTAATAGAATTTGTTCAGGTGTTTCTATTCTAATTCCCTATTAAAATAATCAACCATTTGAATGTGAGAATTTTCTTCATTTTTTATTCAAAAGAATTTATTATTCTTTTTTCAGTACAGATATTATAGCTTTTAATCATTTTCTCTTTTATCCAGGTCTGGATTTGCATTCTTTCAAAAAGTATACTCTATTCTATTATATAATTATTTACGCACAAAGCCGATTAATAAAGATGATCTTCCACCCAAAAATATTTACACTATTAATGAATTATCTTACCAAATGCTCTCTACTTTTTTTCGCTTTTTTATGCACTGGGCAATAGTTAGCAGTTTTCCTTGTCAGTCCTGTGACGTATTTATAAAAAAAACTTTTGTTCTCTCTTTCATATCTCTATTCATCTTCTTGAATATTAGCATGTTAACTTTAAGTTCGGAAATCTTCTATATGTGTGTGTTCAAATAGTCTTATTTTGTAGTTATTTCATGACACTACATAAATTCTTTAATTAACTGGCATGGGCCACTAATATTCATGAGGGAGGTAAAACCTCGCTCTGTCTTCTTTTTTATTTTTGATGGCATTGAAAGTCTAATAAAGTGAGACCCCGAATGACATCATTATTTTCTAATTATTGGCTAATTATGAGGTAGGCTTAGAAAGTTTTTCTACTTAAGTTATTGTGGAAACTTGTTAGAGATAGTAAGTTAATTTGATTTTAAGATTAATAGGGATAAGAAAACTTATTGTATTTGTCAAAATGAAAAAATAATTAGTTTTTTCTATCCCAATCTAATATAATTTTGTTATATGCTAGAAACTTCATATCTTGATAATTGTGTATAATTCTAGTGCTTAATAATTATCTAGTAAATTCTGATTAGAGGCTGTCTTTTAGATCTTTTTTTAAAAAAAAACCGATTTATCGTTATAGTTATATCCCTAAATTAGGGTAATCTCTTCTATTGAGGAAAATATATGATGTTCAGCAAATCCGACTTCGACTGTGACTGTCTAAACAAATCCAGCTAGAAAACTGTTAGGATTTCAAATAATATATTGAAGAATAAAGAACTTTATATATAAAAGAATAAGAGATTTTTGAAAATGAACCTTTTAAGTTTTATGATGAAATGTTGAAAGATATAAAAGATAATTTCATTGTTTTTTTTTCTTCTATTCTTTAAAATTTAGATGAACCTGATAAATTATCAACTGGATAAATTTAAACATAAATTTTG